TATATACATATAATTTATTCCAGCATCAAATCTTTCGAAATGGCGAAAATTTAATGCTGAGAGAGGATCATCATCGAGGCGATAAGCGCACGTTTAATAAATCAACGGAGCACTTTACTCACCGTGAGCTGCGTCTTGTCAGGTGCAATCGCCGTAATCTCGACCGGTCTCGGTTCGGGTTGATTCGCCCTACTGAGAATTGCAGCCGGCATTTTTGCGACGAAGGATAGCCTCCTGGTGAGCCGTCTGCCCAATTCCGCGCGCCGGCGAACCCTAATGCGGGGTCCGGTGCCCTTGTAGCTCCCGAATTCCATTCTCGATCACAGACGGGAGCGATCCTTTCCTTCCTATCGATGGCTCTCGTTCATGGCGATACGCACATATACGCACACACACCCATATACACAAATATAAAGGCCGGTGTCCGCTCGTCGTTGTTACCGCGTGATTATAGCAAACGTGTCCTTGCGAAGGACCATCTCGAATGCTCGAAAGTTTAACGCCAAATATACAAGATACTCGTCACTGATTTTCTGTCGGCACGAACTGTCCAAGCTCCCAAAGTTTTGCAACCGTCGCCATGTCGATTGAAAATGCGAACTCGCTTCAGATTGAACTCGCGGAAAGATCACTGCTCGAACGATATTCGCGGCGGCGTATATATAATCCGCCCTCCCCGCGAATCGGGAATCTTATCGAATCCGAATAATACAATCGCCGGATAAATCTCGGATAAGTCTCACGACGTACGTTAACACACGACGAACTGGACACGCGCGATGGAAAAAACTGACTGGATGTTGTTGAACGTGTACTACGCGCGCAGCGCCAGTTTAGGCGGGGAGGGGACGAGGGCGCGCGAAGGAAGCCAATGACGCGGACCACATGTACCTACGTTCATACTGCGGGCACCGGGCACAGACCGAGCGCACTTGCATCTGTATTCTCCCTCTCTCTCTCTCTCTTTTCTTCTCTTTCCGTCTCTTTGCCGAAGATTGAAAAATCAGAGAGGTGCCGAGAGACCGATCTTCCTTGGTTATCTTGGCGCTCGTTTGATCCACCCGCCCGCTCGTTCAGCCTGCTTGACGCGCTTCGACTGAAATTGAATCGCGGCAACCTCCTACCACACGCGGTCGCGCCACGCCACCTCCGCGCCGCTCCCGTGCCACTCCCGACCCCCCGGCCCCGACGTTGCGTGAAGCCGCGCACCGTTGGTAAACAAAACGCATCCCCGCGGGAGGCTAGAATCGCGGATCGAGACGTTTGGCGCGATGATGTAACAGATGCGCGCACGATCTCGGTCAAACGTCGAATTAATCGTCGCACGATACTTGAACTATATATGACATAGATTCCTACCGTGATCTCCAGAGCGCGTAACGATTTCATATTTTCGCGTCTTATGCTAATTTATACCTGCCACGAACACATGCGCGCTCAATTCTTACCTTACTTGATAAATGCATAATAGCAGCATGAAGGCATTGATTTTTTCGCTAGAAAACCAATTAAAGTTGAAACGGATTATTTCCTAATTAAAGATTAAGATCAAAAGTATCATGTTCTACTCACCTTTTTAATCGCACTTTATACTCAATTTTGTTCCTTTTTCAATATAAAAACCATGATACTCACTTATTTTATCTCGAATGTAACCGAAACAAAACAGATTTCTATTAAGAAAATACTTGCGAATTGCGATATTGCCGTGTGAAAATTACCAGTCGATTAATTCCGCGACACTTTAACCGCCATTTGAATAAGCGAAGTGCGTCGCAAGTCGCAACATCCATAAACACAGTAAAAATAGATCGCGCACGTATTCTGTTTTAATCGTAAAGCCTGTATCAAACTACGCATTGAAAATTGAAGATTACAGATTGAAATTTCAGAACAATTAATCAGAACAAAAGAAACTAAAATTTTCTATCCTGATTGATTAAATTTTAATCTTCGATTAAAGAAAGCGACAATATTTCAGGAGTCTGTTTATATCTCTCTTTAACTAAAGTAAGATCATTTTCATGGTAACTATAAGGTGCGCTTCACTTGACGCTATTTTCGTTTCGAAGATTCTTCGTTTTGATTGGTTCATTAAACATTTCAAAGTAAAAATAAAAAAGATCGGATTTTCCCCAAAGTTCTCTTTCTTTTTCTAATTTTGGCGCAATATTTGATCGATATGCGCAGTCTATATTCATGTTTATGGCAATTATCCGGTATTTCTTTAGGCGAAAGTCATTGTTTCCGCTAAATACGAAAACTCTCGAATGCGTAATCCAAAACCGCAATAGAAAATCGCGGTACGCGATCGATGATTGATTTATATCTACGGGCGACTACGTGACGGCGTCGTTAACAGAAGCATCCCGACGACATACGACGTTGCGGTATCTTCTTTCTCATCTATAAATAACGAAGACCTATTAGAAAGCGCATTTCTAACGCTAATCGTGTCGAGCGGTTGCATAACGTTAACATGTCACCTAGACCTGAGTATTATATCCATCCAAGTTTATAAACATTTAAATGCAGCATATATAGGATATGTTACGACGAGATCAGCTAATCTCTTGATGATAAATTTAAATGGTTTGAATTATTTTTAAAAATCTTCAATCTCTTCGATATTTTATAATGCTGTTATTACTGACGCTTCAATCTTGTAACAACAGCAAGTCTTCCTATAATTTTTTATTACAATTGAATTTCTCGGTTCGACATAGGAGCTTTCTATGACATTTCACATAATATTTTATCTGAATTGATATGATCGGAATCTATTTCACATCTCTCGGAGGTACAAATACAAATAGTAGATTTGATAAATAATGTACGCTGATAAGAATGGCTCACAAGTAGTGTATGTCAAACAAAATGACACGTACTGAACAAATATGCAAAATATTATTTCCTGAAAATCATATCATGTAATCATTATGAAACAAGCTAATATAAAGATAGGCGGATCAGTATATTAAGTTGTCAGATTATTAATTAGGATCCAGTTAAGAAAAATCCGAAAACGTACTTTATATTATTCTTTGTGACATGAATAAAACATGGATATCGATCATGTAACTTTTTCCCTAGGGCGGAAACGTGAAAAATATTAGTTTTGAAATCAATGGCAAAATTTTTCACTTTTCACTTTTCCGCCCTAGGGGAAAAGTTACATGATCGATACCCTGATATAACCCGTTGCAATGCTCTCCATTTCTAGAGAAATATGTTCTATTCCATTTCTATAGAAATTTGACATCGTGAAAAGTTTCATGAAATTAAAAGGAAAAAATAATAAACATTTTTGTCAGTTCAAAAGTTTATCAGTCTTCATTCGAAAATTAGTACGTTGCCTACTCCTCTTATATACACCGCTGCTTCGGCTGCCATCTACCACGCATGCACGAGAAAACCCGGCCCAAACAACAACACTGACGTTGCCACGTGTCGATCAAAGTGTACTCTGTTGGGTGCTCGGAGCGATCTTCCATTGGTGTCTGTCTGATAAATTTTTGATTGTGTGCTGCGATTTTTGAGATAATTCCGGGAGCGAAAATATCGTTGTGTTTACGGTCGCGTAAAAGGGCCGCGAAAAATAGATGGCATGTGCAAGGTGCTACGGCGAAAACGACAGGTGTAATAATAATAATAATTCACTTGGAGAGCTCGCATACCACACTTAACATGATAAATCCAAACTCCGATTCGGAATCGGTTATAAGTACCGCTATGGAACGAGTAGGCGCACGACAGAAGTCGAAGCATGGAACAAGCGGGAGATTCGCGACCTTTATTTGGCGACGCGAGAGTAATCCGCGACAAGAATGCAAGAGGAACGACTCGACGAATGACACCAAGGACATGGAGCATAGGTTAAAAAATCCTTCAAGTAGCAAGGTGTCGTTCAATTTTTTCAGGAATATCAAGAAACACTTGCAAATAAAAAACCTGTGCAAATCCAAGCAAAAGGTAAACGCATATTATTTTCTACTCTTCTCTTTTGTTTGCTTCCTAAAATAAATCTTTTCTTCTTTTTTCTTTTGATATATATTCGCCCTTTTTGCATTACAGTACCATACTTTTAAAATAATTTTTTACTTTTTTTTTTTTCAGAGCAGAGAGACAGATGTGTTAAGCCCTTGTTCAAATCAGAACAACATTATATCTGTTCATGAACCTTTTCATTCTTGCCAAGAGCGAGAACTTTCAAATAACGAGCAAGAGATCTCATCGATCAGACAACCTTTGTATGAAAATAGATTGGGCGATGTACTTGAAAATTCCTGCCATAGTACTAAACAAAATATAGATAATATTAATACACAATATTATGGTGCAACTGGCATGAATCTTCTTATAGTTCCTACCAGGCAACGAGATGAATTAATACATGATATTGCAACTGTTTATGCAACACCTAGTTGTTCCGATGCTACAATGGCAGTTCCTAGTGCAATAGCGAAAGTTCCTTGCAATATGAATGAAACGATAAGTAATGAGCATAAAGTCAAAGCAAGTCTTGCAAAAGAATTGCTCAATTTAAGTAAATATGGATGGTATTGGGGTCCTATATCGGGAGATGAAGCTGATGCCAAGCTCATATCTGAACCAGATGGTGCATTCTTGGTTCGAGATTCATCAGACGATAGGTACATATATTAGATAATTTAATTTTGTAGTGCTTTACTCTATATTGAATATATGATTGAAATGCTTAATATGATTATATAGATACGTCCTAACGCTTAGTTTTAAATCATCTGGGAAGATGCTACATGCGCGTATGGAACACAGTGGCGGTCTATTTTCTCTGTGCAATCAATGTACAGAGAGTGAAGGCTTTACTTCGGTGGCTGCTTTGATAAATCATTCCATGAATTTCAGCCAATCTGCTGTCATTTGTTATTCGAGGCCGAAATATCCGGGATATCCATCTTTTCCAGTTAGATTAACAAAACCAGTGAGCAGGTTTACACAAGTAAGAAGTTTACAGTATCTTTGCCGTTTTGTCATTCGCCAGAATACTAGATTAGATAACATACACAAATTGCCTTTGCCAAAAACTATTAAAGGATATATTCAAGAAGCTCACTATTGATATCTAATGGACAGAAAGATAAATTTTAAAAAGAGATTAATGATGAAAATATTTTTATAAAAAAATATTCTAAGAATATTCTATTCTTGTTAATAAAA